TTTTGTTAAAGGTCTAAGAAACACTCTACCACAGAGATTGTATACAGAAGTAGTTACTGCTTTGCAAGCAGGAAGCCTTGTAATAAGTTCAGGTAATAACCAAAAAGAAACATTCAAAGGCTCTCACAGACAGGACCTATTTTTTTCAGATTGCACAAATTACCAAGAGGAAATTGTCTGGAGTTAAATTATTTCTTCTGGCTCAACCTCACTTCTAAATTCTTTAGGGTATACTAAATCCTCCTGGTGGGCAGTTAGGATTCAACCAGGGTTAGAGGACTTGCACAAGGTAAGTAAGGTGAATGTTAATAAGTTCAGCTAAATGCAGAATTCCAAAGGAAGAAAAACCACAGCATCTCCTGTCCCTCACAAGAAAAGTCAAATATGCAACAGTTTCCCCATAAGCCACTAGGCACCTGATTGACTAGTCTGATTATAACTAGAATAAATGGACTCTGGACAGGACTAATCCTGAAGAACAATAATGAGTTATCTTTAAAAGCAGTGTGTGTGTGTGTGTGTGTGTGTGTGTGTGTGTGTGTTGTAACCCACTCTGTGTGAATAATCCTCCTTAGTTAAAAGGTGATTTAAATGAGAATTTACAGGCAATTACTGCTTATAATAGCAATGCAGGTATATAATTAAGGACTCAGTTCAGAAGAAACCTAAGAAAGTATAATTCAGCATAACCGATATTCCAGAAAAGTGTGACTTCTAAATGAAAAGGATAAGTGAGGGCTTAAACTAAATTTATATGCCTAAGGGAAATGAGTAGGAGATAATTCTTATGTGTTTACACAGGAAGGCACAATAATAGACATTTGCAGTGGTTTACTACGGCAGCAACATGAAAAATGAGTCTCTAGTCTAAACACCCAGATTCCCTATACCTAGCACATATTAGATGGAGCAGTTTCTTAAATGGAAGCAGTACTAAAAACAAAAACAATCACAAGAATCCTTATATTCACATAATGCCTTTTGTGTGAATAATTCAAAGTCTTTATAACCAATTGCTGTGGCTTTCTAAGGTAGAAATATTTGTTATATCCAGTATATGAAAAAAATACATATAGAATTGATTAAGAATCTAGCCTATTATTTATTCCTCTTGTTTCCCAGTGCTTGTTAACATGATTAAATAATGTGAGTTCTAAATCCTAGCTAAATGATTCTACCTTATGAGGAATTTTACCCCATAAACTCTGCTGGGAGACTTCTAAAAGGGAGACATTATTTACCTAATCTACACAATAACCTGAGAAAGAAGTCAAATACAACACAGTGGTTTTACGCTGATTATTTGTTGTTTTATGTCAGTATAATGTAAGGCAAGTCATGTTTAGGAATAAGTTTAATCCACTGAATAAAGATAATACATAATTACATACATGGTATAATTGGGGGGATACTATGAGTAACAAATATAATTATATACTCACATCTATCATATAGGTCTGACAATTAAGTTTGCGAACTCACCCTAAAACAAATGCTACTCACCTGATTGCTTAATATCTCTACAGCCACCTTTGAAATACTCCCCTTGGGAAGCTATGCACTAATGCCAGTGCTTAGTCCACCCTTCAAAGCAATTTTGGAACTCCTTTTCTGGAATGGCCATCATAACTGTTGTTGTATTACCCTTGATGTCCCAAATGTCATCAAAATGTCTTCCATTAATATTTCCTTTATCTTTGGGTAAAGAAATAAGTCATTGGGAGCCATATCGGATGAGTAGGGAGGGTGTTCCAATACAGTTATTTGTTTACTGGCTAAAAACTCCCTCACAGACAGTGCCATGTGAGCTGCTGCCTTGTCGTGATGGAAGAGTCATGAATTGTTGGAGAAAAGTTCAGGTCATCTCAATTTTTCATGCAGCCTTTTCAGCACTTTCAAATAGTCAACTTAGTTAACTGTTTGTCCAGTTGGTACACATTCATAATGAATAATCCTTCTGATATCCAAAAGGGTTAGCAACATCATTGCGACAAGTTCTTGAACTTAATTGTCAGATCTTTGTGCATTAAGATTTGTTCCAAGTGCCTCACTTGTATTTTATAAATGGAAAAATGAGGCTTTTAATAATAATTTGCTCAGGTAATAATGCATGGTCTTTGAATCCCCACTCCTATTACTATGCCGTCTTGTTATATGTCAAAAGATTAGACAAATACCCTTCCACAACTGTGTTGTTGATACTAAACTCTCATGTTTGTGTCAATTCCTTTAGGTGTATTACATATTAATGGGTAATTAATTCTAAATTTAGTTTATTACACAAAATATACCCAGGCTGCATGTAGAAATTGCTTCCAGATAACTTGAAGTATAACATTATAAGCTATTAGTCAGGTTATCAGGTTACTCCTGAAGGAAAGCGTTTGAAAGGAATCATGGGAAGTAGAGATATCCAGAAGGTATGGGTAATATGTAAGTAGATAAGAATAATGTTGAAGAAAAGTGAGCAGGATGTAGACATATAGTATGCTTCACTCCCCGCACTCACCAGAATACCTGTCAAAGTAGTTAGCATAAGAGAACTACTGGCCCAAGGACACCAGATCACTTGAGCATCTCCCTAGATTCACTGGTCCATTTTTCACAACATGCTGCCATTTTATGAATTTAAATAGTTTGGTTCAATCATACCAAGATTAAAAAATATATATTCAAATATACTTCAAATGTGATTTTTAGGTTGTTAGGCATTTTGTATTAGCTTTGGCTATACAGTAAAACCTTGGATTGCAAGAAACGTGGTTTGTGAATGTTCTGCAAGACGAGCAAACATTTCTAATACATTTTAACGTGGTAAACGAGCCATGTCTTGCAATATGAGTAGTTTATTTCCGGAACAAATTATGCTCACAAACCAAGGTATTACTGTATTTTTCTTCAGTAACATGCACAACTTAAGGTAGACCAAATTTCATTTAAGAAAATTCATGGGACATGTATGAAACAGTAATATGAAAAATAACAAAATTTACATTTTATGCTTGATGGTTTGGTGACATAATACTATTTAAAAATACTTCAAAGAATTTACAACATCAAAAGAAATATTACAAACATGTATGGAAATACAAAGTTCGCAGAATAGTTTGGGATTGGTGAAGTAATATTCATTTTTAGCTATCATCTTATTTTCTGAAATGCTTTCATATAGTATAAATAAAGAATAAGACACAGCAGGGAATGAATTCTGGTATGAAATGTTATGGCCAGGATATCATTATCTACAAGTTAGAATCAATTTTTAAAAGAAGCATGAAATTTCAAAAATATATTCTTTCATCATGTAAAGAGATGAGCCTTGCAGATAAGAAGTTTACTTAATAATAGCAATTTTTCAAATAACCATTTTTTCTTACTATAAAAAAAAATAACGATTTTTTCTTACTTGGGATGAGTTTATGGGTGTTAGAAACACTTACTACAGAGTACACAAAAATTCTAAGGCTATATTTTTTTCTTTCAAAAAGCTGCTTTATCAAAGTAAATCATTTCTTTATAAATTCAGAGTAGTCTCAAAGTCTGCACCAAAAAGAGAAAACAGATGGGCCACCAGCTTTAAAGTTAGTCAGCCTTAAATATTATAAAATTAATTTTTAAATAGAAAAAGTCAACAAAGCACAAAATATAATGACAGTGAGATGAAACATACAAATTGCTAAGATCTAAATAAATTGATCAATTATTTTCAATTTATTAATGCCACTTTTGTCATTTTATTAATTTCAAATATAACCTCTAACCCATTAAATATTAATGTTTTCATTTTGATTTAATAATAAATAATTCTAGATGAAGTAGAGACTGTAAAGTTAACGTGGTTTAACCCCCTGGATTTGACAAGAAAATTATGGTTAGCGTTCCTATGTGACTTAGTTGCCTCAAATTATAAAGATGTTAGTGGCAGTCAGCAACCAATTTCTGATTTTCCAAAGCATGTCTTAATGTTTCCATGCAGAACCCATCACCTTTCATTTTACTACATAGATACAAGATATGTTTTTGGCATAAGAAAAACAAGGTCAAAAGGATTTGTATTGAAATATTTAATTATATGTTCCAGCCATTATGCTGTATTTCATCAACACTCATCATGAATTGTGTTTATATAGATGAGTTATATCTGTTAAGTTTGTGTGATAAAAAGAGCAGATAAATAAAAAAAATTCTTAGAATAGTACAAGGAAGGCATTCTGTGATGCATTATGATAAATGAAAGAAGGGGTAAGCTCATAATAATGGTAGAGACTACATATGTATACACTGACCTTTGCAAATTGTGCTTCGCTCCAATAGGTTGTAGTCAAAAGAGAAGACATGAGAATGAGATGTTGTCTTAGGGTAGATCTATTTGCATTCCTCAAACTGAAGTCCTTTAGAGGCAGAAGGAATGTTTCCTGGCTACAGAGATGATGTCTCCTGCATTTCAATAGAGTCTATGTTGGAAGGTCCATATGCTAGAATTATAAGGCTGAGGTGAGTCTATATCCTAGCCATAAAGATGGTGGTTTTCACTCAAATAGCAGGACAGATTGGCAGATGTTAGTGTAGGTAGTAAATGAGTTCTCCAAGAAACCTATTGTATAAATTGTGTGTGAGTGGTGTTCTGAATATTCTGAGCAATTCCCTACAATCACTGGGGATACCTCAGAAATGTTAAAAACTTGTGCTAAAAAAGAGTCAGTACATCTCCCATACCAGCTTTGTTAATAGTTCTCATTCTTTGGTTCATTCTGCCTTCATTAGTTATTCATTCATCCATTCATGCATTCAATCTTATGGAGAACAAATAATGGGAGATTCAAAGATATCAAATATATGATCCTATGCTAGCTGCTGCCTTTTGCATAAACTAAACTAGTAATTAAAATGAAAAAGTAAGATTAAATAAATTACTAAAACAATAATATGAAAGTGTCTCAAGAACAAATTTAATGAAAAATAAGTGTTACAACAACGTATTTCCTAAGAGTGAAACAGACCTTTCCAAGGAATTGCTTTCTTTGATTGCTTCCATTTCTCACTGACCTCTTAGTCATCAACTCACTCCAGTGTGGCTTTTGCTCCTCTTGAAGACCTTTAAGTTGTTAAATCAAATGGACCTTGTCAGTACACATATTCTTTACTATTAAGAAACATTTTATGGGTTAACCACTTCCACCTTGAATTCCATCATCTTTTAGTATTTGTGATGTCTCATATCCCCAGTTGTTCTCCTGCTTCTTTGGTCACTACAACTCAATCCCCTTTGCTGGCACTTTTCTATCTAAATATTCAGGTTTACTTAACCTGGTCTAGGTTCACTTCACTCTCCCTAAGAGATCTCATCCATTCCCATAACTTTACATACCATCTCTATGTGAACAACACTTAAACTTATACTTAAACCTAAAATTATTTTCAGAGTACTCATATATCTACTTCCATAACTATATTACAGGTATCTCAGTCATATTTTATTTTCCTAACTGAACTCATTATAATTGCGTCATTCTGCTTTTCAATTATTTGTAACAATTTCAGTAATATTTGTTGAATGAATGAATGAATGAATGAATGAATGGAGACCATATAGAAAATTTAGAGTTTCCCTTGAGACTTTCCTCTTTCTCACTCCTGACTATTCAATTCATCTCCATTTGTTATTCTGCTATCATTCTGCTCACATTCTCCACCTCCATCCCTCTAAAGTCACCACTACCTCCACCCAGAGTTACTGCAGCCACTCTTTTGTACCTTCCCACACATACCAGAAAGAGTTATAGAAATCCTTTTAAAAATGCAAATTTATTCATGCCATTGACCTCCTAGTTTCCTTTAATATCTTCCGACTGAATTTCAGGAAGATACAAATGTTTGTAATGGTCTATGTGACCCTGAATTATCTAGCCGTGCCTACTTCTCTAATTTCTTCTTGGACAATTTTCCTCTCAATCATTGAGTATCTAGCAACATTAATCATTTTTGAGTTTCTTAAACATGAAAAGCTCTCTCCTTCCTCAGGCCCTTTAGCTTGTTCATGTTTTAGCTTTTGCCTGGAATGTTCTTCCCTTTATTTTTGGTCTGACAGCTGTAACTCAGTCTCCAGAACATTCCTTTAAGCCTTTCTCACACCACACAATTTAAATCAAGTTATAACATTTTTACAATGTCAACACAAACACACCCTATAATTTTTCTTTATAGCAGTTGTCCTAATGTATGTGTACACACATATAGTGTGCATTTATTTGTTTAATACTTATCAACCATTTAGACTGTAAGTTCTGTGGGGGCAACAATTGATCAAAGTGTTCATAGCTGTCTTCCTAGAACCTAGCCTACCTTCTGACATGAAGTAACTGTTTGATAAACATCTACTGAAAATAAATGGGAAAAGGAGGGGATTGGGTAAAATGGGAAAAAGAGAGAAAGATCAAATATGGAGATATGATCTTTATTAACTCCTCCAGAGTGAATATAATTGGAATTACTGCAAAGTCAGAAACACATCCCTGGCATTATAAATAAAGAATAGGTACATATTTGCAGGGCCTATTTTGGGAACTGTTAGTATTATGGTTTCTTTCTAAGGGACAGCAGGATGTTCACAAGGAGATGGAGCAAGAGACCATCATACATGAAAGTTGTCTATGTTCTGTCTTTGCCTGTTAATTTAAAGAGTGTAGAATTTTAAATCACATGAAGGTGTAGTGAATGTGTTTGAAGAGGTAAATGACATGATAAAGCAGTATTTTAGGAAGGTTGATTAGGTAATTAAAAATTAATCAGTGTAATGTAAAACTGTCTAAAATAAGGCAACCCAAAATGCACATAAATTGTTAAGGACCAAAGAAGGCATGTGTCACAAAGTTACATAAAGCTACACATTATCAGAATTTCAAATGTTTCACATAATAGGCAAGAATAAAAATTTTTAATGCTCTGGAAAGAAAAAAGCAAAACTTGAAACAAAATTTGTCATTGACTTGTGTTTAGGTACAAAGTTAAAGGAAAGGTAAAACATGAAGGAAAAAATACATGACCATCAGATACATTTCAGTTCTGTGTGGTAAGAAATAGTTATACATGTTGAATTCACAAGCTATATATATTTCAGAACCAGGGGTAATATTTTATTTGCAGAATTTATGTAAAAACATAACTTTTACTGGTTTTCTCCAGTAATATGAACAAATGATGAAGCATTTTGATGTAAACATTGGGTCTTCAATATTCCATAAGATATTTTTATCTAGTAAAGTTCACTGACAGAAAAGCAGTTTACTGCACACCATTAGGGTATTTTTTACTGGATCATGTTGCTCAAGGCCTTGTCAATATAAAATAAACTTCAAAACATATTTATACTACTTTAGTGAGAGTGGTTTTCCTGTATACATCTAAGTGGGTCTGAGATGTCATGCCTCTTCTTAGACATATTTAATATATCTAGAGTCCAAAGAGCCTTACACATTTTCTCTTAAAAATTTAAAAAAAATAATATATATATAATTTATTTTTCTCTGAAAGCTGAGAATAAACTGACTGGGCATAGAGATAAGTAGTAGAGAATTAGCCCCTCAACTGGACCTCTGTAGGTAAAAGAGAATCATGGAAACTCTGATTCTGGCATTTAGTATTTATTTTTTGATTTTGTGTGTATCGAATGAAGAATGGATACAGAGGTCACTAGATTTCCTAAACCTGCTGTGCAATGATTTCACTTCACTACACAATAGCTCAGACAATTTTAAAAGAATGTGGCATTGCTAACAATGCATGTTGTGAACATTTTGTAAGTAAACAAACAAAATTCTACAACTTTCCACTGTCCAGAATATTTTAAAACATCCTAGATTCTTCCTTCAGCCTTTCATCACATGGCCCAGGCCCTGTCCTTTTCAGGTTCACACCTGAGAGGGGAAGAGCTGCAGAAAGTGGCAGCAGTCCTTATCGCATCTCTTCTCCTTGTCTCACAATAAATAATTGTGGTCTGTGATAATAATAAATTTCTTAAACTATGTACAATTATTGTATAAAATGATGCATAATATTGGCACCACTTAGTATAACCCAGAAAAAGTAAAAACCAAATGGGAAATAGCAAAACTCCCATATTTCAACAAGCTACTTACAAGTGAATCATTGGAATTCTCTCAGTATTCAATATGTTTTCTCTTTTCCCAAGCCAAAGGACTGTGCAAAGCCTTTTTTGTGTCCTCATACAAAGTAGACAGACACAGGTCCCAAATAACTGCAGCCCAGAAACTACACTACAGAATAGACATAATAGTTATGATGTGATGAAACAGTAAGTTTTGCTCATCCAAGGAATGACTGCCAATAAAGAAAATGATTCGAGGTATTTTTCATGGCATCCATATTTTAGCTCAAATGTATACCTGGTTTTAACTCAGATCACATCAATAATTTGAATTATCTAGCCAAAAGTGGAAGGGAACACCCCTTGCACAGAGGTAGCTCAGATATAGCTTTTGCAGAACAACAGGGAAGTAAATACAGCTTATAGAAGCAGGCGAGAAGGGTTCTCATAATAGAAACAGTGCCATTTAAGGTGAGTGAAAACATTTCTAGATTACACCTACTTAGAATCAAGCAATTTTTGTGCAGTATATTAGAAGGAAACAAAGAATCTCATCTAACATTGCAGCCAAAGTTTGAATGCCCAGAATGGCACTCTAGAGACATAGTGATCTTGCTCTTTTCCCTTTTAAAGAGAGGTTCCTGCACAAATATGCTCTTTCCTACATGCACTGCTATTTCCCAGAAAGAACAATCCACTGATTACTGCCATGGAATATTCAAATAAAACTAAAATATCTACTAAAAGTACAACAAAGTACAGCAGAATCTTAAGTATTTTGACTTACTCTTAAATTAGATATTATTGGTGGCAACATATACTTGATGGCAAAATATACTTTATTCCTTGGGATGCATGAACATAGAACTTTCATTTCTATCTATCTAAGAATCATACCAGGAAAAAAATCATGTATGAACATGTTACAAGTCAGGTCAAAAACAAAATTGATTTGATATGTCAGTGGTTCTCAAGTGGGAAAATTTTGCCTCTCAGGGGAGACATGTTCTGTTCATAATGAGGGGTGGGTAGCACTATTAGTGTGTAGAGAGTAGAGGTCAGTCTCTCACAACAAAAATTATCTAGTCCAAAATGTCACTAGTGCCAAGGTTGACAAACCTTGCCGTAAATTAAAACTGTTATTCCTTCCAATATTTTCTTGAATGTACTCAAGAACAAAACATTTTCCTGACCCTGACAGTTCATATATCTACAGATCTGATTTACCAATTCACATTAAATCATCTCTTTGGTATATTCCATTTGTAACCATGTCAACTACTTATCCCCCCACCCCTCAGTTTGGTGCCTGTCAGCCTCCAGCACAGACGCTGAACCAACACATGAGGTCCTTTCGCTGCAGTAGGTAGTTGCTCTTCATTTCACACTGTTCAGAGCACTCTTCCTTATTGATTTGGGGCTGTACCTGAAGCATTACTACTATTTTTCCCCAACAACCTGCATCTGCTCCTATTGATCAACTAATGCAGCCCTTCTGGAAAAATATGCTACGCCAAAGGGAGAGCAAGGAACAAGCGCATGACTCTGGGTGGTGAACACACATGTTATATATAGATGATGTATTACAGAATTGTACACTTGAAACCTAATTTTACTAACCATTTCCACCCCAATACATTTTAATTAAAAAAAAATGAAGAAAGTAGAAAGCTGCTATGGGAAAGAGCCAGTGACTGACTGGTGTTTGCTTATCTCATGCCACCAGAGATGAAACCGATTGAAAAGGAACAAATTAGAAAAAACTTGACTTCTCAACTTACTTTTGTTTCTTACTTATTAACTTCATTATCATTATGTGGCTAGGTGTGTTTAAGTAACAACTCTATTAGCTTTCACATTATTGCCCAATAGATCTGTTTGTTGAAGTCCTTATATGTGTAAAGTTTCCCTTTGGCTAACAAATACATTTAGGTGGTAAAGTATCCTCATTAAGAATCTGTCCTCTGACCTCATTCTTAGAATGTATTTTCTATTAGTCACCTAAAGGCTATATATATAATATTGGT